ACCTCCTAATTTTGCGAAACTGGTAACGCTTAGTTCCAGCGTTCTACCGGGCCGATTTTCATGATTTTTGCGGTTATCGACGGGCAATTGTGTCTAGATAAGCCAACTCTTTTCAAATTTTCAAAATATGGCCCAGGTTTTTTTATATTACGTGGTAAAGTTGCGAATTCTCCCATTTAAACAATGTAAATTTATACTTTTTGTCATAGTTCGTTTGAGCGTTCTACCGGGCCGATTTCCATGATTTTTGCGTAAATCGACAGGTAATAGGCCCTAGATGAGCCCGCTTTAATCAGATTTTGGAAAAAGGACCCAGGTTTTTTTAAAATCACGTTATAAAAGTGAGTGAGTTTACAGAATGCTCCGGTGCTGCTACCGCTATGCGCGGGAGGATGCGCAGTGGTCTAGGAGGTTGCGCAGTAGCTGTGTAGCCTGCGCATCAGCTCTACACTTATCTTCACAAGATTCGCGCCGAAGTCCTCATGTAGAGCGGTGGCCGTCTCGGCTAAGACGTCGAGCGCGTCCACATAATGAATACAATGTGGGATCGGTCCCCGACTCATGAAAGTTTAATTATTACGTGAATATCGTTGTTCATTGTTTTACTGCAATATTTCATCAATCAGTCATTCCAAAACGCGTCCTTTTAATTTTAAAGTAATTTTAAGTAAAGTTTGAAATTAAAGTATACCTCATATCGTAATTTTTTAGGGGAAAAATAAAACTAACACTGAAAGGAGGGTACAAATAGGTCCGCGAAGCGGCCCATTGATGGCGCGGAGCGCCTTCAGGGGGTTGGGCCGCGTAGCGGCCAGGGGGCGCAGCCCCCTAGTATTTGACAATTTGCCTAGGCATTTGACAGAATGCCTGATTTTACTATTTGCCTGCGACAGACACATTACAACAACTGAATTGCAATAACACTGGCATGGCAAGAACTAATGCAAGTGAAAACCGTTAACCATCCTAAAAATTTGAGAAACCAAACAATGGCAGAACACACTTCCGAATGGTTCATGTGTCTCAAACAGTGAGGATGATTCACCTTAATGTGACAATAACATCCTAGTTTTTGATTGGTCTATAAGCATTCCGCATCTCAATTATTCATCAATTGACCTAGTTTGACGATGTCAGTATAATGCATAAACGAAAGACTCTCAAGGAGTAAGAACCGAAAAGGAAATGAGTAAATACACCCAATCCAGAGAAAGTATCATGGAGGAGGAAATGAATAATGTCCATGGAAAAAGAGTATTCTAGGCGAAAATGATCAAAGTTTGCTTCAGAAATTGGAAATTGGAGAATTTTCATTCCATATAAAACTCTGACGATATCCTGATACACCGTTTTGGTCCAAAGCTAGGAGCGGAGGGGCATCTATGATAGTCTCAAACTTACCGACCTATCTGAGAGCGGCAAAGTTTTCCTGTAAAAGGATTGAGATGCCAATTCTCTACTACCGAACTAAGGAAGAACGTCGTATGAGCCTTCAGACGTTGCCAAATTCCTCGGATAAAAAGAAACTTCAAGGCGACGTGTTTGAATATTCTTTTTTAAATTATTCAGACAATTTGGTTTACAATTGATGGTAAAATATCTGGTTATGTCAAGTAAAAATATGCAAAACATTCCTCAAAAACCAACATTCAAATGTTCATATGGCGTTTTTCCTTAGCACGGCGGTCTGATCGTCGGACTTTTTTGACAACGCCTCTGAACATGACATTCGAATTCAATTATTTCAGAAAATCAGTGACACGTTCCATTCACCATTATCTCCTCCCGCGGCGCGTGTCTACAACACACGACTCGATTCCTGCCGTGCTAGGGGAAAACGCCCAATGAACCTTAAGGCAATGCAAAATTTCCTTTGATGAATCACGAATTTATGGGAATATTTATAAACAATTTTCTTCCGATTTTTCAGAGAATTACGTTCGTAATTTGATCCAAACAGTGTAAAAATTTCAAGGAAAAATATCCATAACTTTCCTCAAAAATGAACATTTTATCGGAGAAAATTTGGCAACTCTCGAATGTTTATGCGGCGTTTTTCCTTAGCACGGCAGATTTCATCCGCAGCCTCTTGTGCGCGGCGCCAGCGATGAGGTATTCACAGCACGATCCATTTTTCCGATCCTGAACAGCTGCGAGCGGCTCTCTGA